GGTACCGCAACGCGACTGCGAATCGCTAGTAGCGAATCGCGCGATTGCAAAGTTTGGACATCGGCCTTAGTTGGGGGGACCACGCGGCGGCGCGGCGCTTTGCTCGCCTGGCGCTCTCTCGAGCGAGATAGTGTGAACTCGAACATTCCAGCTTTTCACGCATGTCAAGTGACTGCCCCCCCCCCCCACCCCCTAGACTGCCTACAGTCCCCCTGGCTCACGGATTTCCCGAAGTACGCAAAGATGCCAGGCGAGCAAAGCGCGCCCCTGAACTAATTAGGCACCATTTTTCCTTGTGCCAGGAAATTTTGTACTTGTCTGAGTGCCAACGGTAGTCGGAAGTTACAGTTAACCCCCTGAACTAAGTTAGCACCCATTTTTCTTGTCCATAAATTTGTATTGTCGTGAGCCAGGTAGTCCTGGTAAGTTACAGTTAACGCCCTTAAGATGTATCATTTTGTCAACCAACCTTCATAATATCCAGATCGTTGGGCGCACTGACCACGAACTCAGCGAATTGTTTGAGTTGAGGACCTGAATTTGTTTTTTTACTAGTGAAAGGTGGTGGTGACTAGGTTAAAATAATGGCTACAACTTACATTCTTGCCACAATTTTGCAAACTCAGGAAATTGCTGCTTGAGACTGTCCAAAGCCGCGGGAGAGAGTTTCTGTAAAAGTGCTCATTTAATGGACAGGGCATTTTCCGGCACAGCTTCAAATAAAGAAGAAAAAATAAAAATGAGCCGATTTTGACCTTATTACTCAACAATTTGCGACACGTGAACCCTAGCCAGAAGAAAAAGCTACTTAAAATCTCACGATGGGGACAATGGGACGCGCAATCTCCGCCCACACCTCAGGTTCCGCCCCCGCGCAAGAAAATCCTTCAGACCCGGTGTTCAGTTGAAGTAAAGAAATTTCCCGAATTTCTGATAAATCTGCAGGGAACGATTTCAAAAGGTGACCATTCTGTTGATGATTCATAGGAAAAGCTATGTATCGTAGAATTCGAGCGACGTTTTTTGACCGAGATGCTCTCTAGCAGTCACGATTTCTGAGTAAATCGACTCACCATCGCCTCAGTGAAGAATCCCTTGTTGAAGTCAAAGGACAACTGAAAAGCGTTGCCCATGGGCATAGATTTGATCACATTAGCCCATTTATCCAGCCACTGAAAACAGAATCTCTTCGTAGGAATAAAAATTGTAAGCTTAAACAAATCAAACTGAAATCTTATGAATACAATGCCGCTAAACGTCACCTACGCTCAGCGATTTTTGCAGCTAATATTAGCTGCAGAGCTCCAGATCTCGGTGGCTTGACTAGAGGAGCAACCGTCGCGTTCGCAATTGTCCAAGAATTTTGAACCTCCCCTTAAGAGAGGTTTTGATGCGACCCCCCACCACCAACATCAGTTCGAGGTCCTCCATGCGACATCTCTCTTTCCTCTCCCAATACGATACGCCTCCTATCGATGTACCCCGATCACCACTTTCACCATCATGGTCTGAGACCAGTCGACACACCCATCTCCGGGCACTTTTCCATCCAAAGCAGCCGTTGAGCAGTGGGGGAGGGGGAGGGAGGTAAATTGGTATCATAAGGTGGCGCAAACCTA